TCCGCGCGCGGTGACGTCACAGAAGCGCGGGGCGGCGGCGGATTGGCAGGGCCCGCAGCCAATGGGAAACGCCGTGGAGGGAACGGGGGTGTCCCATTGGCTGCCGCGCTGCCGGCGGGCGGGCGCGGGCTGGGGGCGAAGGAAGGGGCGCGCGCCCGGTGGGAGCCGCGTCGCGCGCCCCGGTGCCCGTTCCCGCCTCCGTGTCCCTTCTGGGGCCCGCGCCCGCTCCGCCCGGGCCGGCCGCGGGCCTGGGCAGCCAGCGCGGGGCCGTACAGCCCCCCGCGCCCGTGCATTGCGTCCGGGCGCGCGCCCGGGCTGATGCGAGCGCGCGGCAGCGGCGGGTGGCCCCGGGCACGCGAGTGCGTGACCCCGGCGCGAGCAGCCAGCGCCACGGAGGAGCGCGTTGCGCAAGGGGCTGCGCTGGGCGCGGCGAGTGCAAAAGCGTGCCCCTGCGCCAAGGTGCAGCCCTCGTGCAGGTCCCTGCGCAAGGACACAGGACACAGCCCTCGTGCATGTTCCTTGGGTAGCCGTGCAGCCCTCATGCATGGCCCAGTGCAAGGACACAGCCCTTGTGCATGTCCCAGTGCATGGGTACAGCCCTCGTGCATGATCCTTGTGCAGGAGTGCAGCCCTCGTGCAAGTCCCTGTGCAAGGACACAGCCCCCGTGCACATCCCTTGTGTACAGGTGCAGCCCTCATGTGAGTCCCTTGTGCAAGGACAGGGTCCCCGTGCATGTGGATGTGCGACAGTGCAGCCCTTGTGAATGTCCCTTTTGTGAGGGTGTAGCCCTCGTGCAAGAGCACGTTCCCAGTGCAAGGACACAGCCCTCGTGCAAGCACACGCTCCTGGTGCAAGGACACAACCCTTGTGCAAGCACACACTCCTGGTGCAAGGACACAACCCTCGTGCAAGCGCACACTCCCAGTGCAAGGACACAGCCCTTGTGCAAGCGCACGTTCCCTGTACAAGGCCACAGCCCTCATGCAAGCGCACACTCCTTGTGCAAGGACCCAGCCCTCGTGCAAGCACATGCTCCCCGTGCAACCTTCTGAGCCCCTGGGGCTGGTTCTTGCAGGGTGCCAGCACCCTCTTTTCTTTCGGAACAGCCCCGCTCGCTCAGCACGGGCCTGGCAGAAGCGCCCAGGAAGGAGGGGTTGTGCCCCGCAGCCCGGGCGGCCCTTGCGCAACGCGGCGCTGGCATCTGCTCCCCGCAGCGCTGCTGCCGGCAGCCTGCGTGCTCCGCAGCGCGGGCGGCTGCACGGCGGCCCGGGACGGCGCGGCCCGCAGCGGCCGGCGGCCTCCCCGCCACGCTGCCCCCCGTGCGTCACGGGCCGCATTTGGGGAGCGCACGAGTGAAGCCGCCCTCGCTTCTCCCCCTGGCGCCGGGCCTGCTTATTAAAGATTAAATTAAAACTCCTCTTCCTGGGCCGTTTCCCGGAGTTTAGCTGGATTTTCACTCCACGAGTGAGTCAAGGGGAGCCCACGTCTCCCCATGGCAGGACTAAGCGAAGTGCCCGCCGCCCGGGGCTTCCCTTGCTCTAACTTGCTGGAGTGGCTCCCAACTCCCTCCTGGCTCCCTGGCCTCGGGAAAGCGGAAAAAGGCCGCGCTCGGAATGTCCCGGGGAGCCCCGTTCAGCCCCATGCCGAGCGGGGGGCTGCAGTCGGCTCAACTCCGGGCTGACTCGGCGCGGCGGATCCGGGCGCCCGGCTGCTCCGCGGCGCAGGACACCACGCGCAGCCCCGCGCCCGCAACCACAGCTGAGAAACAGCCTTGATGGCTGAATGCTCCGCGCTCCGGAGCGAGGTGCCCCCTTCTCGCTGCTGCCAGGGCCCTGCCCGAGCGGGACCTGCACACGGCGGACACCCTGATTAGGCTCCTTATCACGGCGCCTGCCCCAGCAGGAGATGCAGGACGCGCCGGCTGCACGGCCCGATAAAGCGGGAGGGTCCCGCTCGGAGGCTGCACCTTCTGCGGACCGCAGAGATGCTGCTTTATCTGCAAGATCCAGGGGTTTCTTTCGCTTCATCTCACGCCTACAAGGCCTCCGAGCGCTGAGCAACACCTTGTTTTAGGGTGGTTGCACCCTCGCCCTTGCACCGTGGTTATCTGGGGCCGCGGCACGGGGAGGCACCCGGCCCATCCCGCCGAATCGGGGAGGGAAGGCCCCTTAACTGTGAAGCCATCGGCCCTCAGCAGCGCCACATCACGTAGCAGCACCTGGGGTTTTATCTCCTGGGTTCTGAGCAGGTAATTATATTAGTTTCTGTGGGAAGCAAAGAGGCTTCGGAGCCATGTGTGACGTGCAGACGGAGCACGAGGAGAGAAGAGCACAGCAAGGACCCATCACCAGGACGTCGGATGCGCTCCGGTTGCTTCTTACTGTTGCATCACTAAACACCGTAAAAATAATGCATTAATTTTGGGGTCTTTGGGGTCTTTGGGGTCTTTGGGGTGGACTGGCCTGTTTTTTCTTCAAATCATTCCCCATTTTTACACCTTTGCCTGAGACACCCTGATGCCGCAGGCTGGATCCCACAGAATCCCTCCTGTGTCTGTAACACGCGGGCTTATTCTGGGCCCGAAACAGCTGAACCCTGAAAATGGAGCGGGCGCCAGCAGCCCTCATGCAAGCTCCGAGGCGAGTTGTGGGTGCGAGGAATGTGGCCTGTGGGTTTTTCTTTCAGTGCACGCCTAATCCGACCTCGTTCGCCACTACCTGGCTCCGTGGATTAGCAGGGAGAGGCAGCGCGGAGCGGGCGTGACTGGGGCTGCGCTTCCTGGCCCCAAGATTGCTGCAACTCGCCTTTCTGGTTTGCAGCCCTGCGGTTAAAAGCGGGCGCTTGGGCTCGCGCTGCCCGGCTCCCGCCCTCGGGCTCTGCAGGAGCGGGAAGGGGCTTTGGGAGCCCTGGGGAAGGGGCTGGGCTCGTCGCGGCACAAAGTGGGGGAAACGCCTGTGATTTACGCCGGAGAGAGCACGGCTAGGCTGCGCGGACGTCTACCCGCCTTGGAACTAGGGTGTTTTAATGTGTGAGAGCGAAGGGAGGCTGCAGGCGCAGCTGGGAGACACGCGGCTGCTCTGCCCACCGGCCGCAGCGCTCCCAGGAGGCTCCCGGTGCTCCCAGGAGGCTCCCAGCACTGTGGGAAGTGTCCCGTGCAGACAGGGACACAGCATGGGGAGCCCGTGGCTCCTGGGGCAGCTCCGTCCCACACGCATGGGGGACGGTGCAATGCGAAGGGTGCAGGATGCGGCTGCGCATGGCGGGACCTAGCGCCCGGCTCCGACTTTCCCACTGGGAATGGCACCGGTGACCCGGGCTTTTCCCCCTTGCCGGTGCCACCGGGGCTGGGAGGGAGGATATCCACAACCAGGAGGAGCTGCTCCATGGCAACATTGGGATTTGCTAACACAATCGGCACATCCCCCTTGGACCTTGGCTTTATCCGAGCTCTCCGGCCTCTTTCCATATTTTTAGCACCTGACACAGCCTGTGGCAGCAGCTCAGGACATTCCCAGCAGCACCACTAAAGCAGGGAATACACCAAGCCCACAATTCCCAATTCTTGCCCTGGAACCTCATGTTTCCCTTAAAAAACAGGAGCTTTTCCAATAGCTCCTATCCCCAGAACTGCTATCATGACTCCCGTGCAATTTTCCATCCCTTTAGCTCCTCCTTCCCTGCCCAGGGCCACATGGGGACGGAAAATCTCGTGCCAGATGCAGCAAGAAGGAGGCGGACAGCTCCGTGCGAAGCGCAGGGAAGGAAGGGGCAGCGCACAGAGCAAAGCAAAGCCCTGAGGTGGAGCGAACACGGAGCTGCGCGAGGAGATCTCGCTGCTCGGGCTGCTTTGCCGCTCCGGATTGACCGCGGGGCGCCGAGAGAGGGGCAGCCCTGCCAGTGCTGCGGTGGCGTTTGACTCGCGGCTCGCTTTGCAACTGGCGACGGAAAAGCTGCGGAAAAAGGGAGCAGCGGAGGGACCGGTGCCACCCGGCGTTATAAAATGCACGGGATTATCGCCCGTGCCTGGGAGAGCAGCGCATCCCGTCCCGTGGGATGCTGCCCGAGCCTTGTGCCCGGGCACGCCGCGATTACTGATGCGCCTGGAGCGTTATTGGGAGCAGCGAGGCGCTGAAATGCTCTGATTTAGCGAAGTGGAAGCGCAAAAGGGCAACGAGTGAAGGGATCTCGCGCCAAGACAGCACGCGGTTTGAAGTTATTATTGAACCTGCAGCGACGCAGATGGGATCCCGCATTTGGGAATGAAAGGAGTCGGGCTAGACCCGAACACGGAAACAACTCCACTGGGCAACACTAGCATGGGGATCCTGGAGGATCCTGGAGGAAGGGGAAGGCGGCTCCCGTCCATGCTCGGGATTCCTCTGCTTTCTACCCATCCTTCCCTGGGCAGTCTATTAGTAAAAGAAATCGGTGAATACCAACCCGTGCCAAATATAAAGCTGTTAAAGATGTTATTTTTATGTTCCAGTGTTGGGAATAAATAGCTTGGGGCTTGTTGCTGAAGATTTTTTCCTAAGCTGGAGTTCCTGTGTAGCGGCACTGTTATTTTGGGGTGCAGGAAAGGGGCCTGGTCTGAAAGACGGGTGAAAAAACGGGGAGATTTTGGTGATGGGAGCAGGAAAACGCGCTGAGGTGTCGCTGGAGGGAGTTATTTCGGGAGAAGCCTCTGGGTGGCACTGCTCGCCAGGCAGGACGCATAACGGGGCCAGCCGAGGAGGGATAACGGGAATAACGGCAATAAGATCCGTAATTAGTCTTGCAGATTGCAGGCTGCGCTGTTGACTCGGAGGCAGAAGTTCATCCCCTTCTCTCGCAGGTCTTTGCCCTGAAATGATGTGAGCAGCCAGGAACACGCTGCAGACTTTCACGTGGGGAGTTCTGTAACATTGCGAGTAATTGTTTATTTGTTTTGTTTCATTCTGTTTTGTTATATTAAA